TGTCCATCTTGTTTTCTATGTTTTCCCTTTAGACCCAACTTCAATATGACTCTAGCTCCTTCTATCTTCTGGAAGTGCTTGAAATTCTGACACTTCTTAGATGATCTTTATTTTCCTAACACTTGTAGATTTGAATTTATTCTCCTTTATACTGTTGTTCTTTAAGTTAAGGGAAATCTGAAAGAAATGAGAATGTGAACACGCACACACACTCCACAGGCTCATTAATAGATTAAATGTTCACATATTAAAGGCATTGGTGAACTATCTATCTCCAGGAAAGTCCATTTCTATAGGAAGGAATCGATGAGAAAAGAGCAAAGGGAAGAGCTTCCTTCTTGTTTTTGGAATCAAAGAAAACACATATTATAACTAAGTCAATGCAGTTCATTGACCCAGAAAAATCCACAAGTCTTTCATCTCAAGTTCTTTCCTGGAGGACAGTAATTTCACTAGCCATGGAGGTCTCAGGGTTCTAGTTCCTCTGACTCTAGCAGTAAAACATTCCCATCTAGAGTCACAACTTGTCATGGGAGCAGAGGCACTCTTTCTTCATGTGTTTTCCTAATGCCTCTGTGCTGCAGAGCATCCACCAAGGCCGACATCCCTACCATCACACATCACCACCCTAGCTGTGATGACTATTCAAACTCAGCCTGAAACTATTACACGTGAATTCTGGGGCGCATTTCATAAACTGCTTTCATTATAAATGTTAAAAATCCATTCTGCTTACAGAAAGTTCTGAACTAATATGTCATCACAGATTAGAAGAAGAAGCAATGTACTTTGTGAAAGTTTTGCTTTGTCTGTGAAAAGGGGACAGAGCAGGTGACTGGTTGTGGACACCCAGGACATTTTTCTCATTTGACCTCCAGAGGGCGCTGCTGCACTGCTGCACTCACCAGCGTTCTTCAGTTCAGATCTTCCCCACCTGCTCACATCTCATCCTTCTTTTCCCTGCTTGTTTTTAGCAAAGGTGTGTGACAAGAATCAGATTTCTCCAACCTGTGTTAGCAGCACCATTGTTTTTAGCTGAGTAGGACACTTCTCCAGCAGACTCTTCCTCACTCCTATTTTCAACTCCTGCTTCCTTCAGTCACTTCCTTCCTGTCCTGTTCAAGAGACTTCTCCCAAGACAGAGCCATCCTCTTGCTCAGCCGTGCTCCTGGCGCTCCTCCTAGTGCTGGGAGTACACTCTCTCCTGAATGCGTATAGCTTCCTTATGGTCTCCGTATCCTGAGATTCTGACTGTCCTCGGTAAAATCCGCACTGCAGTTACTGGCCTACAATTCCTTTCTAGGAGACTCCATAGCACGGTCAGTGACTCAGTCTAACACTAGTGGTGTCGCTGTCTGAAGAATATTCTATGCAGCTGAGATGACACTATTCCTCAAGTATCGCACCTTACCTGCTCTGGTATGTCCAGCACCCAGGGACTGCAGTTGTCTCCTCAGATATTATTCTGTAGACCCTGTGGCTTGAGAGGTTTTGAGACTGAATTTAGCAAACGTGAGTCTTCCTTCCACCTGAAGAAAGCCTCTGTGCACCTGAGCAGTTTGGCTGTGTACATTTGTGTTCTGGGTTCACGGTGTCTGGGCCTGCATGGGGAGCTGAACGTAAACACCCACAACAGTGGAAAGGCTCAGACTCAAGGTCTCTCCTTAGGTCTTTGAATGATCTCATGCATCTGCCTTTGCACAGCTCAGTTCCAGCTACAATATCCACTGTCTGGCTTTGTCTCAGAAATTCTTTGCTTATTTTCAAAATTATCTAATGCTCAGTCATGGTTCTATAGAATGGAGGAGACTGTGTTGCTATCTGTGAGAATCATTTCCGAAGTGGGCATTGCTTAAAGCACAACTACATTATGTGGCTGATTGTGTCTGCAGGAAAACAACAGAAGCTGGACTTCACTTTGTAACTTTTCTAGTTACATCCATCTTCCTGAAAAGTTTATGATGCCATTTTTATTTACATTGAAGAATAGTCAATAATTTTTATTATCCATTCATCAGTTGAGGGTCAATTTAAATTGTTTGTACTTCCTGGTTACGATAATAGAGCAGCAATGAATATAACTAAGCAACTATCTGTTGAGTAGGATGTAGAGATCTTTGGACATAAACTGAGAAGTGGCATAACTGGATTGTGTGTAGATTTATCTTTAAATTTTTGAAGATTCTCCTTACTGATTTCCTGAGGAACTCTATTTTCATTCCCTAATAGTGAATGCAGGTACCTTTCCCACACACAACACCCCCCCCACCAACATTTGTTGTCAGTTATTTTATTGATTTAGATACTGGGGCACGATGAAATCTCAAAGTTGTTTCAATTTGCATTTCCCTAATTGCTAAAGATAATGAAAATTTCAAAATATTTCTTGTACATTTTTATTTCTTCTTTCGAGAACTCCATCTAGACACTCTTGTCTTTTGACCATCTGCATTTCCTTCACCAGGAAGTGATGGGGTGAAAAGTTTTGGTTTAATAAGACTTCTGAACATGGCCTAAAGTCACTTTTGTTGGTGGTGTCTGTCCACTAGGGGGCACTGCAGTGCCTAGGAATTACAAATCTTAGTTTGAAGATCCCAGAAGGGACTTAAGGACATAAAGCAATCCAGTCACAAAGCAAGAAGCAGGGGTGATGGTGTAGAAATCACACCTATCTTTAGTTTTCAGTCATTCTAAAGAAAACTAGAGCCTGTTTACTGGAACCCATTTTGTCTAGCAATCTATTTTAAAAACAATTCTTTGAAGCTAAGTAACATGGTGAACCACAAGAAAAACATATATAGACCCATGTAGAAAGTCGAAATAGACAAGCTCGTCTGAAGAAATTGGGAGCATGGGGGAAGGGGAGAAAGGAAGGTATAAGGGGAAAAGGAGGGGAAAAGGGAAAGGGAGGAGAACTTGAGGGAACGGGATAGTCGAGATGGAGTAAGGAGAGAGATGAGAGCAAGGAAAGAGATATCTTGATTGAGGGAGCCTACCAGGGCTAGCAAGAAACAAGGTTCTAGAGAAATTCCCAGGAATTCACAAAGATGACCCCAGCCAAGACTCTAAGTAATAAAGGAGAGGGTACCTGAACTTGCCTTGCATTCTAGTCAGACTGATGAATACCTCAAATGTAATCATAGAACCTTCATTCAGCAACTGATGGAAACAGAGGCAGAGACCTGCATCAGAGCACTGGAAGGAGCTCCCAAAGTCCAGTTGAAGAGTGGGAGGAGTGAGAATATGAGCAAAGAGGTCAAGACCCTGATGGGTACACCCACTGAAACAGTCTCCCTGAGCTAATGGGAGCTCACCAACTCCATCAGGACAGGGAAGAAGCAAGCATAGGTCCAAACTAGTCCTTCTGAGTGTGGTTGACCATTGCATGGCTGAGGCAGACTAAAGGGCCTCTGGCAGTGGCACCAGGATTTATCCCTACTGCATGTACAGGCTTTTGGGAACCTATTCTCTCTGAATATATACCTTGCTCAGCCTAGATATTGTAGGGAGGGCTTTAGACCTTCCCAAGAGCAATGTGCCTTACCAACTCCCTCCCCTCCTCCCACTCCCTCCACTTATCCCCCATTCTAAAACTTTACCAGTGGATAGCAGGGGTGGGGGCAGGGAAAGTGGAGGGAGTGGGAGGAGGGGAGGGAGTTGGAACTTGGATTGTTATGTATAATGAAAATAGTTTGTTCTCTTTTTAATAAAAATAAAAGAAAGGAAAAAAATCTTTGAACATGTAAGCAAAGTAGAATCTCACTGGGCATTATGAGGATGGATACTCCAGAGAAAACATCTCCATTGCTTTCTTGTTTTTTTTTTTTTTTGGTTTTATCCTTAAAGTTTCCTAAATGCAAAGAAATAGAAATTGTTCCAATGCCCTTTATATCATATATAATATATATGCATAATTCATATGTGAAAGAAGAGAAATACATATATATGAAAGAAGAGAAATAAGTACCCAAAAAGAAAAACTTTATAAGAAAGGATAGGAGGGCAGGGCCTCACTGAATTGGAGCTGGCATTCATAGCCTGATCTGAATCAGCAGTGTTCTCCTGTGCAGCACAGTGGAAGAGCTGGGCAGAAGACAAGAGATGGAAAATAAATCAGGGTGGAAACAGGAGCGGAGCATGTCTTGATTTTCTTATAGCCTACAACTGTGTTTGGAACGTTTTCTATGCACAAGATGATTTAATTGCAAGACATTCCTTTTATTCTACATAGTGCACTACATGCTGATTTGTCAAATAGGATAATTTAAGAGACCTGCCAGGAATTCTTTGTTAGGTCTATTGACCACACTGAAGGGTGGATCCATGCCCAGCATCAGATGGCCAACACTGAATGAATCCAAAGATGATGTTGTATGACACTGCTTAGTTTGAGCATTTTTTGGTCTTAACTGATCTTTTGTCTGTGTTTGTATATATTTTGTGCTTTTGTGAGTTTTTATGTGTGAGTTTCTAATTTGTTATTTTTTAAAATTCTGCTTTTTTGGGGTTTTATTTCTTTTCCTCTCTTTATTTCTAAAGAGAAAGAAAAAGAAAGAATATGGAATTGGGTGGGTGAAAAGGTGTGGAAGTTCTTGGAGATGATGGAGGAGATGTGACCATGATCAGAATATACTGCATGAAAAAAAAATTTCAAGACAGAAAGCAAGGCTCATCTAACCACTGGAGCCATTAGTATTCATACCAATGTTCTGCGCATATGAATTCACCTTTCTCACATATTTTTTCCAAACTCTCCTTATAAGAAGAAGAGTTACATTAGGAATATAGTGTCCTGGGCTCTACATCTTTGTCCTCCACAGTTGTGGAGCAATTGCCTTGCAGAGACATGTGGTGGAAGTGGGTGGGGTTTCTTGTTCATATGAAAGAGAATCCTCTGTGATTAGGAGAGAATCTTGTGTGTAAGCACAAGTATTTCTGAACTCAAGACTTGCCATTCTCATAGCTGGAGAGAAGACAACATCAGCAATTGAACAGGGGCCATGGAGGGGAAACTGGGAGCTGTGCTGGGGATTCTGTGGGTGCACATTTGCTGTGAGTTATATTCACCTAATTTGCTTTAGGGATTCTGCAGAGATGTCAGTGGTTGAGGGGAATGAGCTGACACAGAGCTCCTGTGCAGTCATCCTCATGCTGTGTCCTGGGATGTTTGACAGGTGTGGGTGGAAACCCTTCATTGACTCTGGTTTGTTTTTCTGTTTCCAAGCAGGGGTGCGAGGAGTTGAGGTGCAGCAGAGTCCTTCAGCTCTGAAACTCTACGAGGGAACCATTTCTGCTCTGTCATGCAATTTTTCTACCAGCATCATGAGTTTGCAGTGGTTCCAGCAGAATCGTAGGGGCAGCTTCATCAATCTTTTTTACCAGGCTCCAGGAACAAAGGTGAAGGGGAGGTTAAAGTCTACATTTGACTCCAAGGAGCGGTACAGCACCCTGCACATCAGGGATGCCCAGCTGGAGGACTCAGGCACCTACTTCTGTGCTGCAGAGGCACAGTGCTTCCATCAAGCCTGCAGCCTGGCCCCAAATTGCAGCTGTTCATGCAGCTACAGCCCTGACATGGGGAGACTCTACAGGAGACTTTTCACAGTGGAGGCTTTATCAGACCACCAATTACAAAGAAGGAGTGAGGAAACAGAAAATTACCACTGCAGAAGTCCATACTTAAACTCCTACTGAGGTGATACTGACTTGAAGGATACATGCTCAGAAACATCAGCCTCATGACTAAAATCTACACTTTATCAAATGCTTGTGCTAACATCACAAAATAAGCCCTCTGACACACTCCAGAATCATCTTGGTCTTTTCTCAGAACTGGAAACTGAGAACGATTGTTTTCAACCTGTATTTAGAGAGCACAAAACAACTCTTACAGCTAATCTGCTCAATATGAAGTTGAGAAAAAATTAGGTTTGAAGATTTAATAAATTATGTTGTACAAGGTAAGACAAGCAAATATTATCAAACATGATATGATTTTAACAATGTCTTGATATTTTAAAAAACACAATCCATTTAGTTATGCAATATAAAACAAATTTTTCACATCAAAAATTATGACAGGCAAAAGATAAATGATAAACTAGAGAGACATATTTGCAATTTGTATTGCAATAATGCTTGTAGCGATTGATTCTACAAAATATTTACACATCTGCAATGTAATATTCATGCAATACTTCTCAATAAAGCACTGCTTTTGAATGGAAAACTAATAAATGTCCCTCAATGGGGGATGAATTCATTACATGATAATTAACAAAGTTCAATTTTATTTTATTTGACTATAAATTTAATTTCCCCAAGATCAAATATCAATTCATTTATGTTATGGGAGTTTGTAAACCCAGAAAGGATCTTCCTAATTTTTCAGGGACCTGACATGGAAATGGCATGTATGATAGATGTCTGAAGAAGTGAATTTCCATACTATGAGACAATTTCTCTCCAGTCCAATGCCATTCTATGCCTGACACTATATATATATATGTATATATATATACATATATATATGTAGAAGAATTCATGGAAGCCCCTTGTTCAATTCCATTACAAGGCAGAAGCTACATGAAAAATGTTATAAAATGATTAGATAATAAGTGAACATGAATAAAAAGAAACTCTGCTGTCCCATTTCTCCCTTAGCATTGTGTCATTACTTGACTCCTGCAGGAACAGTCGCCTCATGGACAATCAACTATTTTCAGCTCTGCATGTTGTGTCTCCAAAGGATGTCATCCAATCTATCTGATAACAAGAACCAATAGCTCCATTCTGTGTAAACCTGGGGCTCTTTGAGCATGAAAGACTCAGTCCGTACCACTGTTATTCTTTTGTTTTGTTTCAATTGAAAATATGTCTTTTTTCAAGAAAATATATTCTGATCAGTTTTCTTTTCCTCATCTCCTTCCTGATTCTCCCCACCTCCCCACTCATCTACCATTACACCATCTTTCTCCATCTCTGTAGAAAACACACAAGCAAATAAACAAGCAAACCAGAAAAAAAAAACAAAGCAAAGAGAAAAAATAAGCAAAAAACATGAGAAAAACATATTAGTTGAAAGACATATGCATACACAAAAATCCATAAAAATACAAAATTTGACATGAAGGGCTCACAGCTGTACCACTGTTAACTAGATATGGAAATAACAAGTCTAGCTTAAAGATAGACAAATACATTTTATTTACTATAAGGGGAAAAACTCATGCCATAGGCATGAAAGATCCAAGATCTGCTTGACCATGGGGAAAACTAGACAGAGAGTGTACCTGGGTGGTATACAGATTTTTATCTCCCGGTCCCAGAAAGCCATGCCTAAACTAGGTTCAATCTCTTAAAGATTATTGGTTAATAAGGCTTTCCTCATCATCTCCCTGTTTTGTCTAAACAAGAGTGATCCAAATCCAATACAAAACTATATGCAATAGGAACAGATATCAAATATTAAATTACAAACAACCTGAGCAATATTAAGCAAAGAACACATGATAAATGTTTTAATAAGAATCTTATTTTAAAGAGCCTAAATCTTGTATCGGAAATAAGCTTGGCTAAATCATAAGAGGAATGTAGCTACAGTTATCCAATCTTCAACCCCATCAAAAGCCTAAAAGGGAAGTAATATTACTTGAGCAGGCAAGAAGTGTAATCAGGCAGCTTCCAAAGTGAGCAAACTATGACAGAGACAATTAGCTACCTAAGCAATCATCCAAAGGCTGTTGATTATTACTTGTACTAGATAGAGGGTTAGGGTGAAAACTATGTTTGTTCAACAAAAAAGAATAATAATAATGGGTAATAGAGTAAATACTTGTGAGCTATTATTTGTGAATAATTTGCATTGCTGTAGTTTTTGTATGTTGATACAAGTTCAAATTATAATTGTTATTTTGTTTACATTACTTGTACACCTATGCAAAATTATTCTGTCAGGTTGTTTATGTGTCTGCTTCTACCTCTGTTTAGGACATTTAGTATATTGATACAACTTTTAGAATATATTTTCATATTGCATTATATATTACTCCTACCTCTGATCAAGATACTTATAGATTGTTTACATTTTAAGATCATTGTCCTCATTTGTTGCACATTTGTTTACAGATTATTTAATATTCTGACATGAAGTTTTAGTCTTTAAGTCCTACACCTATTAAAAAATACATGTCAGTATAATAGTTGTTCATGTTTGTTGTACATAGTCAGATCAATTAGGTTCTTTACATACACAGAGAGTGCATTCTGTCTAAATAAGTAATCTTCAACCACTTCAAGGATCTGTAAAACATGACGTTTAAATAATTTAGGGTTCTGTTGACATGAGATATGATTGCTTTTAACAGCACCAAGATATTCCTGAGAGAATGTTGAGCACCAAAGACACTTCACTCAGAGCTTGTTTATCTTGGCACCATTGGCTTTTGGGCAAGAAACTGCTCTTGTCTGGAATGCTTAACTGGACACACAAAAAAATGATTGCTAAACTTGCCTAAAGGTGAGAGGATCCTTTGGGATTCCTGCTTCATAAAAGAGTCTACAAGACATTGTGAAAGATACAAAGAAAATGTGACTTACAAACTGCCAATATAGGCAGACCTGTCTTTGAAATTTCTGCTTCTTAAAAATTCTGTTGAATACTATGGGTTTGTAGGCTGAAGATGGATGCCTCAATGGTACAAAAAAAAAAAAACAAAAAAACAAAAAAACAAAAAACAAAAAACAAAAACCTTTTGATGACTGTCCAGGCAATGAGATGTCTCTGTCAATTCTAGAGATTTGAAAGTTGTTTACAATGTGTTTCCTGTTTACTTATATATCTTACCCTTCTGAAGTCTTTGATGAAGTTAAAGAATTTATAGTTATAGTTTTCCTTAGTTATGATAAAAGATAAAGTAGATATTAATATTGTAACTATAATTCTTGCTTGATAACTGTTTTGTTATATGTAATTTTACTAAGTTAAAGACTTCCTTTTTATTTAAACAGAAAATGGAAAGTGATGTGGGAATCCCCTCTGTGTGCTTTGATTACCATTAATGAATAAAGAAACTGCTTTGGATGGAGGTGGGTGGTCCTTGGACTTCCCACAGGGCAGGGAACCCTGATTGCTCTTTGTTCTGATGAGGGAGGGGGACTTGATTGGGAGAGGGGGAGGGNCAGGCTGGCCTCGAACTCACAGACATCTGCCTGCCTCTGCCTCCCGATGCTGGGATTAAAGATGTACGCCACCACCACCCAGCTATCTTTTAAAATGCTTTTCTGTATCTGTCTCCATGATGTAAAACAGCTTTCTCAACACAGACGGGGAAAAAAAATCTTCCCATAGATGTCTATGATTTAGAATAATTCATTTAGAACGACAAAGGATGAATATCTTTGCAGTATAATTCCCTTTGATCCCCCATCATCTGATCCTGCCTGATTTATTTTTTCCCAGCTTTAAACCTAGGTCCTAAACTAGAGAGATACTTGAAATATTACTGTAGCTCTATTAAGGAGTACCCTGGATAACCCTCCACCTCTTTAGGGGGGGAAATAACACCAATAATAAATGATAGCCCACACGATAGGCAAAGAATATCAAGGCAACAGATTCAGCGGTGGTCATGATGAAACCAGGTTTGACCAAGGTACCCATGCTTCCTGTCTGGAAAAAAGAAAAAAAAACAAGGATGGTTTCAAAGTGGTAGCAAGAAAGCCTCTTGAGACTGGTAAAGAATAAAGATGAGACCATGCTTTAAGAAAGCACAGTGTGTCCAAGAATACTGGAAATCCAGTTTGAGGGCTGCAATTAAGTATAAGAATACTGCTGAAATAGAAGGAACTAGAAAAGTCAGATCTCATTAATTTGTGTAAATTTGTGTAAGCCTCCTTCAGAAAGAGGCTTAATTTAATTTAATAGACTCTTGCAAGCAATTGATATTTTGAAGAAGAAAAAATATATATGGCCAGATGCCTCTGGAGGATTATTCTGGCAAAAGAAAGATGTCGCGGGAGGAGAGAGAAACATCAGGTGGCTGTTCTGAGCAAAATGTACTTAAAACCTAAGGGAAAATGGTTGCTTAGGTGAGGGAGGATGAAATAAAAGATTCAGTGGCCATCGTGGACATTGGGTCAGGATGAAAAGTCTCCTAATGTAATTGCTGAGCAAGAAGTCCAAGATTTTCTAACATTTTAAACCAAAAAGTCATGGGCCGCATGAATATGACAACAGAAAAAAAAGTCTTATTTAGGGAATATACAATGAGTCTTATTTTATATTTTTAATGTATCATAGATAGTTATTGTGTCTCTACTTTATAAATAAAAAACAGAGATCTGATTCAAATGCAAAAAAAAAAAAAGAAACTGCTTTGGACCTATAGCAAGGCAGAATTTAGATAGGCAGGAAAAACTGGACTAAATGCTGGGAGGAAGAAGACAGAGTCAGAGGGACACCACGGAGTTGCCAGAATCAGACATGACAAATCTTTGCTGGTAGGCCACAACCTCATGGTGATACACAGATTAATGGAAATGGGTTAAATTAATATGTAAGAGTTAACCAATAAAGAGTTATATCTAATGGGCCAAGCAGTGTTTTAATTAATAGAGTTTATGTGTTATTATTTAGGGGCTAAGCTAGCCGGTCAGCCAGGAACATACAAGTGACCCTTCTTACTACACAGCTGGGTGTACAGCCAAGATGAGCAGGTGAGAGAAAAGACAGGATTCCTAGAAAACTATGAGCAGCCAGTTGGATCCTACCCCTAAAACATAGGCAAATAAGAACATTGCTTTTCACTTGTTTTTCCTTCTAATGTGACTAATTAAAACAGACTAAAAACTTCTATATAGATTTTACCTATCCAGAAAGTGGACTACTGCAGACCATGGAAGAGTGAAGGGCCGTTACTGGGGAGACCAAGAGCACATGTTATTAGCTATAAAAAACTCTATATGCAAGTCACACGAACCAAAGACAAAGCATATATTATTAATTTGTGGCTATTAGATACCTCCTTCCCAAGACTGGAGACTAGCAGCACTTGTAAGATTGACAATATTGACAATCTTCAGTAGAGGCCCAGGCTAGTAGTCAATAAACAGCCAAGGGGAACACCTGGCAAAGTAAATAGACAGAGAGAAAGAGAGCTTCAAAATGTGACTGTTCCCTAATGAGGTGAACAGCATGCGAACAGAGCATTGTCATCATCTCCCCAGTTGGGTCAAAAGAGGAGGAACCCAGTGTGGAATTCCTAACTGTCTCAGCCCACAGTAATCACAGAGGAAAAACCAGTCTCAGTAGAAATGACCTCAGCCTTTGTCCAGTGCCTGAAGTGTGTCATAAAGATGCCCAGATGGGCTGTTCTACGGATTTTCCTCTCAACACCCCTCCCACTCACAGGAGTTTCCCTTACTCTTCCTTAACCTCTCTCCTGTCCTTAAATTTCCTTAATAAAGTCTGCCTTTACTTGTTTCCTCATGTGTCCACATCTTTTGTTATCAGCAGCTGAGACAGTGAGCAGAGACCTACTGTCTCAGGGCATGTATTATGTAACTTCATGTCTATGAACTGCTCAGAAATTCTGCAGAGATAAAAAGTAGATGAGGGGTTGCCTAGAGGGCATTGCATGGGCAGAAATCATCTGTGACTGCTCATGAGCAAAGCCTCCTTTAGAGCAGTGGTTCTCAACCTGTGGGACACGACTCCTTTGTGGGGAAAGGTCGAATGACCCCTTCACAGAGTTCGACTAATACCATCTGAAAATACATATTTTTACACTACAATTTATAACATTAGCAAAATTTTGAAATACCAAGGAAAATTTTATGCTTGGGGATCATTACAACATGCGGAACCATATTAAAGGGTCACAGCATTAGGAAGGTTGGCAACCACTTTCCTAGAGGGATGGTGAAAATATTCTATGATTAATTATGAAGACGGATGTATATTTCTGTGAATGCACTAAAGCTCTGGAATTATATCGTATTTGTAAAATCATATAGTACATGATTCCTATCTCAACAGAACTATCACATAAAACAGATAACAACAAAGGATGCTGAAATATTTATTGTCCTTTTAAATCAGTCTTGATTATCCACACCATTTGAGCACAACAGTAATGGACTCTAGATGAAAGGGTCTCACGTTGGTCTGATCTCTGTTCTCAACCACAGCCTTTTCTTTTCATATGGACTGGCACTTAATGACTGTCATCACCTGACTAGCCACACACAATGGGAGCACAGTGAAAATGTATTAAGTATGAATACATAGTTGTCATGTCAAACATTGTTACATTGTCACAACCAGGCTTTCCCTGTTCTAAATTTGTGATTTTGGATGATGAAGGATGAGAATCAGTATGACATTTGAATTTTACATATACTTTTAGTGTTGAAGTGATTTATTCAAAATACCCCCTGGGACAGTAGAAACATTAAATTGGAGTCATTTTGAGTCATCACACATAACTTCTCTTGGTCCTGTGATGAATAAGCCTTAACTACTGCATCTGCCTGTTAGATTATTGCTCAGTTCGTCGACTGTCAAATCCTACGCCTTGTGACAAAGAGCATGGGCTTGAAGCTACCTTCAAATCAAAAAACAAAAAAAAAAAAGGAGAGCAAAATTAATTTGGTCCTTGAGAAAACATCAGAGAAACAATTCCAGTTTCCGAATACATGCAAATAATTCAGTCTTTCTTTGAAGAAAGTGACAGGAAACTCTCCACTGAATCTCTTCAGTAGAAGGAGGGACCATATCAAAAACTCCATCCTGGATTTTAGTTTTCAGGAAAGGTGTTCCCTTGAACAGTCACCAGAGGGGGCTATGAAACTAAGCTCCTTCCAGGCCGAGACAAGGCTGTCCATGGGTGTACAGAGGATTTCATCCCTTCTGTCACCTTATCATTTTATAAACACATAGTGAGTGCATTGACAGATTTAAACACATGAGGAAGCTCATTGTAAATGGCAAAACAGACAGATGAGCCCAGCCCTTACCCAGGGAAAGTGAGGGAGGAGCAAGGCATGGCCATGCAGCCTCAGCCACTTGGAAACTAAGGTTTTGTTCCCTTGAGATGATGAATTTTTATTCGATCATTTTTCTTTTCTGTTTGATTTTTGGCAGTTTCATACATATATACACTATGTTGTGATTATATTCACGACGTCCTCCATTACTCTCTGTTAGACACTTTCTTTTCCCTCTGGATTTTTCTTCCCAATTAGTCCCCCACTGGCTGCACTACTGAAGAAAATGACATCCCCAAGCAACCGCTGACAGTAATAACTCCTAGAAAAGTGGATGTGGGAGTAGGGAGCATGTTGTGAGAAAGCCTGAGCAATAGAGTAAGACTTAGTCTCAAAAGAAAGAATGAAAAAAAGAAAGGAAGATAAAATGAGATAAAGGAAAGAAATCTATATGGATTGGAGATGTAATTCAGAGTTAGAGCATTTGCTGAACATTCAGCAAAGCCAGGGGGTCAATCTCTAGTTTGACAAGTAATCAATAGGACAAGTAATTAACATAGAGGTCAATTTTAAATAACTAAATATTTATTGTTACTGAATATCAACAAGTTCAGTTTTATAACAGAGCAGAAGGAATGATTTAAGTTTTATTCCTGCCCATATTTCCAGTAATCACTTTTGATAAACTAGTGGAAGTATTTCTACCTCCCTTGTCAAATGACATTGTTTTATTTTCTTCTCCAAATATTGTTTTCTTGCCCCTCATTTCTTTTCTTTCCTATTTACTCTCTTCAAGGCATACCACTGCCAGGTGAGGTTAGAGGTGAGATTTGTGTTAGAGCACGGTTCACAGAAGATTGTCATGGGCAAGCAAGTCATTGGTGTCTAGACAGTAATCCCAGTTAGAAGAAGTAGGAGACAGAATCTTTTTTGCAGGAGTCCACCTAGGAGGCTAGAACACCAGAGAACTTTACTTTTATCATGTTTTTTTTTTTCTGCCATACTGATCATGCACTGTTAGGCACTTAAGAAACTATTTTCATTAAGTATGTTACAAATAGTTTCTTCTACAGTGTTGTTTCATTTTTAACTTGGTTTATCATAATTTTGATGGAAAAAAGAAGTTGGCATTTCTAAAGGTTAATTTATTTCTGCTCCTAAGACTTTTATATTATCAATATAAATAGGAAGTCCTTCTTATTCTTATAGCACAAAGCTCAATAAGAATTTCTGAAATAAAGAACAATTCCTATCAGTTCAGCAGCACACTAAACTATCAATTGACACTGAGTTTTGCCTGTCCTATAAACAAGGGGAGTAGAGTTTCCTTTGAAAGGTTTCGTATATTCAGACAAATCCTTGTTGAGTTTAAGCCTTGAAATGATCTCAACAAAAAACTCTAATTGGGGATTTTGCAAGAAAATTGTTTTCATCTTTAAATGTTATATTTAAACTTTGGAGGTAGAGATAGACCCAACCAAAAGACACATGACTAGAGCCACCTACAAAGAAGGGTTCTTGAGGAGGGGCAATGCTGGAAAGTGCTGGTTTGTGGCTTGAGGCCTCCCATCCTCCCATCATACACAGATTCTGTGCTCAGACCATAGAACTTCTACTTGCTCTTAACTATGAGGTGCATGAGTGGAATTCCTATTCTCCTGACTTTGGGTAAGTGTTCTGGACCTACAGAAGGATGATTTTTGTACATAAAGACAAAGAAATATGTCTGCTGCCTCTACTTCTCCCTCTGTGATTTTCCAAGGTGCTGGAGAGAATTGGTGTCTGTAAGATTCTTTAGTCTGAGCATTTTCAGCATGAGCAGCTGCGTATCCCACTTGTGGACTTATATACAAGAAGCTCCAGGCTCATTAAGTTTGAGGAAAGTGGGACGTGGGCATCTTTTCCTTGGCTGTGTGATTCTGCACGGTGAAAGAGTAAATTTTAGCAATTTCCTCTGGTCCTGAGCAACATACAGTACCCAGCAGCAGAACTCGGGAGAAGAGTTCTGAGGCATCTGAGAGCCTGACACTTAGACACTTCGGTATTGAATGGTCCAAAGTTGATCTGTTGCTTCTTAACTCCTTAGGTATTGTAGTTGATGCTAAAACTACACAGCCAGATTCAATGGAAAGTATTGAAGAAGAAACTGTACACTTGCCTTGTAGCCACTCCGCCATCAGTGGGAGCGAGTACATTTACTGGTACCGACAGGTTCCTCTTCGAGGTCCAGAATAAGTGATTCAAGGACTACAACAAAACACAAGCAATAGAATGGCCTTTCTGGCTATTCCCTCTGACAGAAAGTCAAGTACCTTGATCCTGCCTCGGGTCAGCCTGAGCGATGCTGCTGTGTATCACTGTATCCTGAGAGAAGCACACTGTGACAGACAGGGCTGCACCTGTGCAATATCTGCCTGGTGGGGGAGGGGAGCAGCAGCATCCTCTAAAGAGGCCTCTGCACAGGAATGAGTAGAAGCCCTACAGGGGAAAGAGAAGGCTGAGGAGCCCAGCAGGGGTGGGAAAGGAATGCTGAGCCTGGGCAAGAACGCTGACAGCAGATAGACAGACATGCCTGCAGGGCAGCTGATAGCACAACTTCCAGTTCCACAGAGAGAAGAGAATGAGAACTTCTGACTCTTCTTCATTTGAAAAAAAAAAAGTTTATTTCTGTGTAAACCAGAGTAAAAACTGATGAAAAAATCTGCTGTGGGACAATGGTCTTTATCCTTTCATTTGTATTTTAAATAAATGCTGATTGGCCAGTAGTCAGGCAGAAAGTAGAGCTAGGGCAACGAGAATTCTGGGAAGAGGGAAGTTTCAGTCTGCAGTCATCATCCCGACACAGAGGAAGCAATATGTGACTGCCTTGCTGAAAAAAGTAACAAGCCACATCGCTAACACAGGCGAAAAATTATGGGCAAATATACAGTATAAGAGCTAATAAGAATCCTGACCTATAGGCCAATCAGTTTATAATTAATGTAGGCCTCTGTGTATTTATTTGGGACTAAACAGATGTGGGACCTGGTGGGAAAGAAACCTCGGTCAATAAAAATCCTTTTGGATTCAGGGAAGAGTCCAAGCTCTGGGACACACCATAATCACTATGTCCTTCTAACATCCCTAAAATGCAAAGAAGCCTCAGATTTCTTCCATTTTTTCTTAAGAAAAATTAGGGTTTTTTTTTTCTTTCTCCCTGTGACATATAGTCCAAATAATCAGTTTTTGAAGGAACAAATAATTGACTTTTAATAAATAAGCTATGTATAGATGGAATATACACACAGTCTGGATTATGTATATTGTTGGGTTTCTTTTAATATTTTGACTGTGAAGGAGCTAGGTACAGAGAGACCTTCATAAACCAATGTACAACTTTTAAAGGTATCATGACGTCAGAATTTGGATTGAAGGATTTGTTGCTTTTGAAAAGACGTTTATCTTTTGTTTCCATGGAGGGTGAGAACCTGTGGAATCCTTCCAGACTAATGTGGTTTGATGGACTAAGACTCACAGAAAGGTGACCATGAACACCCCCCAAATTACTTCACTCAACAAAAAGCAAGAAACAATTTGGAGAGAACTATGCCCAAATTCCCAAATATTGTTTATAAATGTTTATTTACATTTAAAGAGGGATATGATATAGAGATCAAGACTTTGCTTTGGTATGGATCTTGTCCTTTTCATGCAAATTCAGGATAAATTTTGTTTTATATATATATATATGTATATATGTATGTATATATATATTTCTACTCTTGATTAAGCTATTGTGTTTGTGTAACTCATTTAAAATGTAATGTAATATTAAGAAATATAGGTTAACAGAAAGTCATCTATAATAGTCAAGCTTGTAGTCATGTTAGTTAGGTTTTGTAGTGTACAGAGATATTTTTCAGATGGATAGATATTATTCAGATCTTCAAAAGACTACAAAATATGGCTTTTAAAATGTTTTAAGAACTTAGGACTTTTCATGACATGAGACACATCTGCTCCTGGCAACACCAATCTACTTCAAGAGGATGATGGGCATTGAAGAGGCACCTTCTGGAGTTTGTTAGCCATTTAGGTTAAAAAAAAAAAAGCAGTTGCTCTTGCCCGGACTCCTTGCTGGATTTGCAGGACCCACAGAAAAATGACTTCTACTGTTGCCTAAAGGTGAGACAGTCCTTCAGGGTTCCTGCTTCATGAAAGAATCTGCCAGACAATCTGCAGGACACAGAATAAAATGCCTGACTTGCCAATATAGGCGGAACTGTCTTTAAAATTTTCTGCTTTATGAAAAAGTCAACCAGATACTATGGGTCAGTTGGCTGATGATGGGTGCCTGCGATGCTACAGAAGAACTTTGGGTGACTGTTCAAGCAGTGAGATGTCTCTGTCAATTTTAGAGCTTTGGAAGTTGCTAATAATGCACTTCCTCTTTACTTTGGTAATATAATATTCTTCTGGAGTCTTTGATAAAGTTGAGGAATAAATTGTTATAGTTTTCCTTAGCTATGATAAAAGATAAAATAGATATGAATACTGTGAGTGCAATTCTTGCTTGATACATGTTTTGTTATATGTAATTTTACAATGTTAAATTTAAAACCTTCCTTTTGTTAAAACAGGAAAGTGGAAATGGTGAAGGTGGTCTTTCTGTATATGTGTTACTTTTATTGGTTAATGAATAAAGAAGCTTCCTTGGCTTGTGATGGGGCAGAGTTGAGCTAGGTGGTGAAAACTAAACTGAATGCTGGGATAAAGTAGGTGGAGTTAGGAGACCAGAGGGGAAAGATGTGAGTTGCCAGCTGGAAACTTGCTGGTAGGCCACAAGCCTTGTGATAAAATACAAAATAATGGAAATGGGTTAATTCTAGATGTAAGAGCTATGTAGAAATACACTTAAGTGATTGGGCAATGAGGGTTTTATTTAATACAGCTTCTGTTTGGTTATTTAGAGTCTGGGCAGTTGGAAACAAACAAGTGGCCTCTGCCAACAGGAGTGGTCTGATTTATATTGAGGTCTTTGATCTACTTGGACTTGAGTTTTATGCATGGGTATAGGTATTAATCTATTTGCATTCTTCCACATGCTCACATCCAGTTGTGCCAGCACCATTTGTTGCAGACTCTTTCTTTTTTCCATGGTTTAATTTTAACTTTTTTTTTTTTTGTCAAAAATCCAGTGTTCATAGGGCTACTGATTTTTTTTAGTTGATCTTGTATCCTACCACATTACTGAAGTTGTTTATCAGCTATAGGGATTCCCTGGTAGAATTCTTGGGGTCACTTATGCATGCTATCATATCATCTGGGAATATCAAATGTTTGACTTCTTCCTTTCAAATTTGTAACCCTTTGATCTCCTTGTTATCTTATCATTCTAGTTAGAACATCAAGAACTATGTTGAATAGATATGGTGAGAGTAGAAGCCTTGTCTTTTTCCTGATTTTAGTAGAATAATTTCTAGCAATAAGAATTCAAAAACACATCAAAAAAATCATCCACTCTGATCAAGTTGGCTTCATTTCAGAGATGCAGGGATGGTTCAACATAAGAATCTATCATTATGATCCACTATATAAACTGAAAGAAAAAAAATCATATGATTACCTCATTAGATGCTGAAAAAGTATTAGGTAAAATCCAACACCTTTTCATAAGAAAGTTATGGGAGAGATCAGGGATACAAGGGACATATCTTAACATAATAACAGCAATATACAGCAAGCCAACAGTCAACATCAAATTAAATGGAGAGAAATTATTTGTGTTTTCTTGATGTCCTTCAGCTGTCTTACTCCTCTAGCTAGGACTTCAAGCACTAAAAGGAAATGGTATGAAGAACATAGACGACCTTACCTGGCTACCAATTTTAGTGGAAATGTCTTGAATTTCTCCCTATTTGGGTTAATGTTGCCTGTGGGCTTGCTGTATATTGGTACTTTATTGTGTTGGTGTGTGTTCCTTGAACCTCTAGTCTCTCCAGGACTTTTAGCTGAAGGAAATTTGGATTTGCCAAAGGCCTTTACTGCATAAAATTAGGTCATCATGTCTTTTTTGTCTTTCAGTTACTTTATATGTTGGATTACATTATTGATTTATATCCATAGAACTATCCTTGTGTTTCTAAAATGAAACCTACTTCAACACAGTGGATGATTCTTTTTTAATGTGCCTGTAATCAGCTTGCATGTATTTTCAAGAATTCTTTCATCTATATTCAGAACAGATATAAGCCTTTCTTAGATCTTTATGGGTTTAGATATCAGAGTAATTAGGTTCACATAAATTGGATTAGACAGTAATCTCCTGCTTCTGTTTTTGGAATAATTTGGAGTTAGGGTTAGTAATGAGTTGTTCACCTTTCATGAATTTGTACACTTTGTATAATTTCTGTTGTTTTTGGATATACATTGATCCTGTGTTTTAATCTTATCTGTTAGCCTCTTTTTTAAAAATCAAGACGTTTAACCCATTAACATTAAGATTTATTATGAGCAGTGATGATTGACCCCTGATACTTGTTGCTGTGGTGTATATTTCCCTCCTTCTTTGCTTTGCTCCTCTGAGATTATTTATTCTTTGTGCTTTTCTTGGTTGTGGTTAATCTCGTCAGAGTTCCTTCTGTCATCTTCTATAGAGTGGAATAGCTAAGTGGATACTGCTTAAATTTGACTTTATCTTGGAATGTTTTTGTTCCTTTACCAATTGTGATGGATAATTTTACTACTTTTAGTAGCATGGGCTGCTGTTTTTCTCTCAAATTTTGTGTTACATCTACCCCAGCTCTTCTGGCCTTTATAGTTTCCACTGAGGTGTTAGTTATTATTATAATCTGTTTGTCTTCATATGTTACTTTGTGTTTTTCTCTTTTATTTTTAAATATTAATTCTGTGTCCTATAAAGTCATTTTTTGATTATTATGAATCACCATAAAATTTCTTTTTCTGGTCCAGTTTATTTGGTGCTCATTATGTTTCTTGTAACTTGATAGGAACCTCTATTTTTTGGGTTAGAGAAATTTTCTACTTTGATTTTGTTGAAAATATTTTATGTGCCTTTAACTTAGAATTTTTCTTTTTCCACTATCTATACCATTGTAGATTCTGCCTTTTCATGGTGTCCCTGATTTCCTGGATATTTTCTCCTAAGGTTTTTGAAAATTTAAGATTTTGTTTGACTGACGTGTCCATTTCTTTTACCTTTTCTTCAATGCCTAAAATTCCCTCTTCTATGTCTT